GACCGGAGCCAACTGCCTGGCCCCCTCCCCGTTGCCTGGCGCTGTGGGGGCCTAGGCTGCGCCCCGCGCCCGGACCGCTAGCCTTTGGGGTTGATCTGGGGGCTGAGGGGTCGGGGTCTGAGCCTGGCCCCGCCCCCGGGCGCGCACGACGCTGGGGGGCGACTAAGGGGGCCCGGGTATGGCGTCCTAGCAAGTAGCGGCTGGGGGACGCGATCGCCTGGGGCAGAGGAAGGGGCTGCGCTCAACCCCTTTTGAAGGGTTAATTCTGCAGCCTAATGTCCCCCTCCCCCAGTGGGGCAGGTTGGGGGTGGGGTGGGGCGGGTTTGAGCCGGGGCAAGCGCTGCAAGCTGCTGGGAGGGCGATGGCGTAGGAACCAGGAGGAGAGGGGGAGGGGTGGGCCGCCCAGCGCCCTAGAGTTGGGGTGTACAGGGTGTGCTGGGCGAACTGGGGCCCTGGAACCGCCGCGCCGTCGGGGCATGGTTGTGGCTGTGAGTTTTGGAGATTGTGTCTCGTGCCGTGTTGTGGGTCAAGGTAAACCTTTGCTGGGCACCACCGATTGCTGGTCTGGCTGCCAGGGATCTGGATAGGGCCCTCCCTCGGCTACAGAGAAAGCCAGGAGAGGTGTCCAGTGTTGTGGGGCAGAATCACAAGATGTGGCCCTGTGGCTTTGGGTGACAGATGGGCATTCTAAGCAAGACACAATACGCTGAAGGTAGAGTTTGTTGAGGTTGTATGTGTGTTTTCTATCAGCGTGTTTTCTTGTTTGTGCCTTGTGTTGTACACATGAACTGTTTATGAACTGTTTTCTGCACAGCTGGTGTAGTGTGTTGTGTTGTGGAGAGCGCCAAAATGCAGGTGTATGTGCCTATTTGGAGGGGGCAGTCATGGACCTTTGAGTCACAAGGTGTCACATCTGAGTCCCATTTCTCTGGCCTTGCTGAGCTATGGTACAGCTGTGGAGGACGGGCTGGTGGACGGGTTTGTGTGTCTGTGATGAGTGAATTACACAGCTAGAACTCAGATCTTGCAGATCATGAGGAGAGTGAGAAGCCCCAGGGTGTGTCTTGGGGTGCCTGTGTGTTAGTGGACATCGGTGTCAGGGGCTCAGGGTGAGATGAGCCTGTTGTGTTTATGGGATCCTAGGCAGCCAAGCCAGATGAAGGTCTTGTGTTTGCAACATTCTCCACAGGATTCTTTTGTGACATTGTTTGTGGGAGCCTGTCTGGACTGCTGGGCTGGGAGGCGAGCTGGTCAGAAAACACATGTGGGGAGGGAGATGGCGTGACAAGGGCAGTGTGAGCCTTAGATCCAAGAGACCAGCTGAAAGCTGTGTGTGTTTGTGTCTGCCTACCTTCTGTGTGTTTAAGTGGTGGTGGGGATGCAGGGAGGCCAGGGGGATATGCAATGAGAAGGTGCCAGATAAATGTGGGGCAGAGCAAGGGCAGCAGGTAGAGGCATGGGTGTTGTGGGTGGCCTAGCTAGTCTTCTGCAGAGTCTGTGTGCTTGTCCCACACTGGCCTGCCTGGCATGTCAGGGTCACCCAGAGGAGAGACTGGGCGGCTGCAAGGGAAGTGAGCTTAGACAGAGTGGCTCCTTGGCCATGTTTATGTAAAGGCCGGGTGTGACTCTTGTCACTAAAATGGAAAAAAGAAATGAAGTTTTCAGCCTTCTCCTGCTTTCCCCCCTCCGCCTGCTCTGTTGTGGGTCTCTCTGACGCACACTGGGCCCCACTCCTGCAACTGTGGAAGGGCCTTAGAAAGGAATTCGCACAGTAGGCAAGATTCCTCAGAACAGGTTTTCCCTCACCTTTGGAGGCTGGGCCCTTCTGTAGGGGTGTGTTATGTGCGTGCACTCCAAGCCTGCACACTACTCTGTACAGCGCCTGGACTAGCAGGGAGGATGTGTATACATGGGGGACCAGAGGGCACTGTGGCCACTTCCTCCAGCACAGGGGCTAGGAGGGGGCTGGCTGCTGTTTGAAGCCTGCACAGCAGGTGCAATGACGGCCTGGTGAAGGGAAAGGAGCCCTAGACTAGAGCTGAGTTCTGGCAGCTCTACCACTTTCTCGCTAGCACTTTAGCAGGGTGAGCCTCCATTCCTTATCTGTAAAATGGGGCTAATTACCTGTTCTACCTATCTTCCAACAGCACATGGGAAACAGACCTGGAAAATGACTGCAGTTTGGGGGCTGTGCCATTGCCAATCCCTGTCAGCCTTCTTCCAGCACTGAAAATCCCATTTTCAGGACTTTCCTAGTAACAATACAGCAAACACTTGTTTAGCACTGTGTACCGGGCACTGTTCTCCATGCTTTTACATGCATCACTCAGACCTCATAACAGCACTGTGGAAGTAGGAGTTCTGATTGCCTTTCTTTTCAGGTGAGGCAGCTGAGGCCCAAAGAAGTTAAGTAATTTGCCCAAAGTCCACTTAGTAAGAAGTAAAGGTGTATTTGAACCCAGGCAGTCACTTTCCACATCCTGTGTTCTTAAACTGCTGTACTCTGCTGCCCTTCTGGAGCATTTAGCTGACCTTTCTGGACAACCCCCTCCCCGCAAACACACATATGTGCTCTTCTCCCCAATTTCTGCATAACTTAGCATCTGTAACCAATCCATTTCAGAAAACTGGTATTCTCAGAGTCCCAGCTAGGTGCAATGGTGGTGCTGGCCATAAGGGCAAAAGGTTGGTGAGTCAGAGGAGAGACTGTTGGGTGGCGCCTGTGGCTCAAAGGAATAGGGTGCCGGCCCCATATACTGGAGGTGCCGGGTTCAAACCTGGCTCTAGTCAAAAAAAAGAGGAGAGATTGTCCTTGTTCTTGTGGTTCAGGGAGTGCCAAGAGGTAGTGGCATTTGGGTTAGATCTTAACATTTTGAGGGGATTTAAGAAGAGACCAGGGGGCTCAGTGCCTGTAGCTCTGTGGCTAGGGTGCTGACTACATTCACCAGGGCTGGCAGGTTCAAACCTGGCCTGGGCCTGCCAAACAACAATGACAACTACAAAAAAAAAATAGCCAGGCTTTGTGGTGGGTTCCTGTTAGTCCCAACTACTTGGGAGGCCGAGGCAAGAGAATTGCTTAAGCCCAAAAGTTTGAGGTTGCTATGAGCTGTGACGCCACAGCACTCTACCAAAAGCGACATAGTAAGACTATCTCAAAAAAAAAAAAAGGAAAGAAGAGACCAGGGAAAGGGCATTTCTGGTAGAACAACCAACACAAGCAGAGACATGGGGGTATGGGACATGTATAGGCTAGAGAGCACCCTGGGTGTATTTTTCCATTTCAGAGACAGTCTCACTATGTTTCCCAGGCCAGACTTGAACTTTGGGGTTCAAGCGATCCTGCCTTAGCCACCTGAGTAGCTGGAACTCTAGGTAAGCACCACAGTGCCTGGCTCTCACTGGGCGTTATTTTATTTTATTTTATTTTATTTTTTTGAGATAGAGCCTCAAGCTGTCCCCCTGGGTAGAGTGCTGTGGCATCTCAGCTCACAGCAACCTCCAACTCCTGGGCTCAAGCAAGTCTCCTGCCTCAGCCTCCCAAGTAGCTGGGACCAC